CAGTAGCAGTGCCCGTTTGCTCGCGTAGTTGAACCAACCCACCGCCCGCTGTCATCTGTGTCTCAGATGAGAGTTTCAGTCCTACTCTGGGGAGGGCTGGGGGAGCGGGGGTGTCAGTATTTGTTGCTGCTGTAGCTTTAAAGCAGTGGAAACTTTCAGTGTTGTCATCTCGACGGTCAAAGCACAGAGGAACTAGCGTACTTCAAGAAGTGCAACGTAGTGAGGAAGGCGTGCTTTTGAAGTGTTTGACTAGGTTGAAACCGGCCGGTTTTGGTGTCCCTCCTGACCTCTGGAAGAAGAGGGATACAGCGCATCTCTGGGATTTGAGCAGACTTCTCCAAACCTTAAACCTCCTGCAGCAGGCACTGGGGCATCAGCCAGGGCAGTCTTCCCACCGCTTGTCACTCGTACTTCTTGCATGGGTGTTTGGGCAGCGACTCTGTCTAATGCAAAGGCAGACAGCCATTTCTCCTCTGCTCTTCGGCTCATACAAATATTTATCCCAGAAGAAGGCTCTTGCCTCAGTTGCTGCAGGTTTACTTGGCTCATGGCAGAGGGTTCTGGCAAGTGTGTTGGGGAGAAGGGACCACTGAACAGGTTTCTGCATGAAGGGATGGCTAAAAAGCAGTGGAAAGCACCAGGCTGTCAGGTACTGACTACACGAGAAAGCTGAGATGTAGTCTGAACTCTGTGAAGAATCCTTGCTGCAGTAACGAAGCATGTTAACAAAGCATAGAGGAAAGAGCTTGCGGAAAACAGCGTGGGATCTCAAGCAAACAGTTGGCCCTAGCCTTCAAACGATAAATGTCCTGGGGGTTATACTTAAGCACAGCGTCTTGAAGGCCCAATTAGAGATATTATTTTTTTCTCCAGTGCCAAGTAGACAGGAGACTTGAACTCAGCGAGTCTGGGTGCTGCTGAAGACAGCAGAGACGTCTCCTTGCTCAGCGTTCTCCTGCAAGCCCTGCGATGGATATCTTGCGTGGTCACCTCCCCGGCGCTGCTGGCGGGTTGGTTCATTCAACCCGGCAGCAACAGAGCTCAACGTGACACGTAGGCTTTGCCATTGTGTACGCCGTTCACAAAAGAAGGGAGTAAAAGTCTGGTCTCTGTGGTTTGGACATTGCTGAATTTCACGAGACAAAAGTTTTAGTCCCGTGTTAGTTTGCTTGTAGCGCTGAGCTCCAAGGCCATAATGACGGAGGAGCTCTGTGGGCGGCGTATCTAAACCCGTTAGGATGTACGTATTGTGGAAAGAGAAAACACAGTTCCACAGAGGGCCAGCACACTGTAACCTACTTTTTTTTCCCCTTTTTGCTGTATCATTGCAGCTGTTATCTCTGGCATCTCTGATGTCTGACCACTGGCGGGTAGTGCTGTCTGCCTGCGTGAGCAGAGGAAAAGTGTATGAGTGTTAAATAGGAAACTGGTGTGTATTTTAAAGCACAGGTTCACACGGAAGTGCTGGCAGTAAACAAAGGAAAGTCCTGTTCTAGTTGTGAAATCGCTGATGCCCTTGATTGTCAGATTCCAGTTTAGCTCTTCCTTAGCGCAACATGGCTTGTTTTTCAGTGTTGCTTTCAGCCTCGGAATGATGACAGAGAGATCATTCCTTGGGTATTTTGTTGAGTGTCTTTGGAAGAGTTTGCCTGTTGGCTGTTAGGGTGACCTCAGTAGAAAATCCATCTTCTGCTTGTATTCTAGCGATAAGAAGAGAGCTCAAGTGCCAGTTCCAAGCAATACGCTTCCCAAAGACAGAAGTTTTTTGAGGCTTCATTGCTGTGTAGACTCCTTCTTTTCCTGCTAGCGCAGCGTTGGTTTCTGTGAGAAGAAATGAAGAAATATCCCTGAAAAAGAGGCCACTAAGCCCTCCTTGGTCTAGAGGTACTGTGGAGGGTTGACCATGAGCCATGGTTTAGGATTGATTTTCCAGGACTTGTATATTACTAAAAGCAACATTGCTGGGCTTAGGGAATGACCCGGAGAAACGGCGAAAGGATGAAAAAGCAAAGCCAGGAGCTGGGAGCCAGCACAGCCTTGTGCAGAATGGCCACTCTAAGCCCCTCGGATACTTTTTAAGGCCATCTGGGGTCCTTCACTAGCATATGAACCGAGGGCAGGCAGTTTGCACGGGAGCATCTGTTCTCCCGCTGGGAGCAGCGACGTGGGATGAGACGGAGCGTGGATTTGCAGAGCAGTCGGTAGCACGCTCAGGGTGGAGGCTCTGGCTGCGCAGAGGTCCCTTGGGTGATTTAGCTGATCCTGCTTGGACTGAGTATTCCACAAGGAACTGCCCTTGTCCAAAATCAGCCCTGTGGGCTGTCCCTCGTGTTGAAAACTGTTTGGGTTTGTGTGTAGGCAAGGGAGAAAGCTGGGAAGTTGTCAGCCTGGCTGTTGCAGGTAGTTCTGATGCATGTATGCCTCACGGCCAAGTGAGCATCTCCAGTGCTCTTCTGTAGCACCTTCTCTGTGTGTAGTAGCACTTTTCCTTCCAGGCTCCAGCTGGAATATCAGCGTACCTGCTGGAGATGGCTTCTGATATTTCTCTCCGACACCTTTGCAGCGTGCGCTGCCTGTCTTCAACTCCAAGATGGAGCAAAAGTTGGTTGTTTCTGAATGCTGGAATCTCACCAAATCCGCTGAAAACTACGGCAGGAACATTGCTTATTTGGGATGCCATTTGGTGGCTGCTGTAGAGGATGGCATATGTTCAGGACGGTGGCATTGTCACGGATGTTACAATGCTGGCATGAGAAAGTAAGGATGACAGGTTCTGGCTGAACAGATGTCTTACAGCAGTTAACCTAGAAAACATTGAAGCTCTGCCTCTGGTCTGGACACCTCAGCGGAGTGTGCAGAGGAGGTATTGATCGGAGCGAAGGGAAGGGAAGGTGGGAGTGCTACTGTTGCTCTGCCATTCACCCCTTGCATGTCCTGGGGCAAAACGTTTCATCCGTAGCACCTCGCTGCCCCAGCTGCAGTGTTCTGAAGCCTCCATGGGATGCATTATTGAGGGCTGTTCCCACCAGCTGTATCGGGCACCCCAGGAGCAAATGGGGAAGCTTGACACCACTGGAGGACTGCCTGGATCTTCTCCATTAGCAGGAATTATGCCCCTGAGTTGCTCTGAGTCTCCCTCCAGGGTTGTCAGCTTTTCCTACTGACTTGGAAGTGAGCATCCTTCTTGAGCGTAAGAGCTGCTCTTCCTCCTTTAGCAGGATGAGAAGCCCAGCTCTTGTTCTAGGAGGCGCTTGGGTAGGAGACAAACCCTCAAAGTGGACCAAACTCTGGACTCTTCACCTCCCGCTCCCCCTCTTCAGGACCAGCTCGGCCCTGCGGGGGCTGTCCCCAATCCTGCCCGGCATTTCTGAGCTCACTGCAGTGAGACGGGGCTTCCAGAGCGCTCGGCTTTGCTCTGCGGTCGAGACTGTTGCTGATTTCTAATCTCCTCTGTGCCTCAGCTGCTCTGTTGGCACATTAAAGGCTAGCCGCAAAGCAACCATAATTGTGCTAAGTGTCTGTGGGATAATGGACTAAATACTCAGGATTGCAGAGGCAGCCGCATTCCCGGCTATTTAATACCTTGATTGATGTATATTTAGTTGTTTGCCAGCCCACCGGAGGACAGCCTTCTGAGCTCTTGTTGCTCCTGCTCGAGGAAGCTGGTGACGCAAGGATGTTAAAGAACTAGGCAGGAGTGAGCTATTTGGCCAGGCGTGCGGTTGCAGGGCTGTAGCGATCCCAAGTTTGCTAGGACTGGGTGTTGTGGTCTTCCTCCCTAGCTTGCTGAGCCGAGAGAGGGAGATGGGTGACGGTTTTGGGCTCTGTTTGGAAGAGCGGAGTTGTCCTCTGCCACCGCAGCCTTTGGCTTCTCGCAGGACTGAGAACGCACGTTCTTTCTGCCCAGGGGTGGCCTGAGGAAAGGTCTGTGTGCCCGAAAGCTTGTCCGCATTTTCCAATTATGTCACCCGATCTCGTAAAGGATGTTCTCTCTCCCTGTAAACCTTGCTCCGTCTCCACGTTAAACCCCAGACGTGGCCGTGTTGAGGTTGCTGGGCTGTCGAACTTCAGGCACCTGTGTTGAGGGGCTGAGATGAGTGTCCCTGTCTAATCGGGGGAGAGAACTGGGTTCCGTTCTGCATCACCCTCAGGATGTGACTCTTTCTCTCCATGCCTGAATAAGGGGACCGGACTCTAACTTGGGTGCCGTACAGCTATGTGGTCTACGTGCTGCTGTCAACTGTCCAAAAAAAGTGAGCTCAGAAGGGCTGTGTAGAAACGCTTCTGCTTGAGGTACAGTTGTCTCTGGGGCCCAGCAATACGTGCTGCTTAACGTGGAGAGCAGGGCAGTATGTTTCCCCAAAGAGCTCACGGAGCGGAGAGATAAGGTGCACAAGTGAAGGGTTACGAACCCTGCTTTGGAGGGCAAAGGAGCCGAGTCGGAGCCAAATGAAGGGACTGCTTTTTTAAGCTGAAATGAGGAAACCCAGAAAGCAAGCAAGGATGCAAAGATGTTTCGGGGCATCCAAGTATCTTGCAGGTTCCTCCTGAAGAAGCGTGGCAGTCCTCTCCACGACGGGAGCAGAGCCCGGGTCCGTGAGCCGGTGCTCTCCCCTCCCAGAGAGGCAGAGAGTTTCGGCAGAGTCGCTCAGCCCTGAAGGTCTGGAGCAGAAACCTCTCTCGCTGCTTTGCACGGAGGAGGATTTTGTAGGAAGTGCTGTTCAGCTACAGGAGCTCCATGGACTATAACTTTGCCCATTAGCCATTCGTGTTTCTTTCTCTTTCTTTAGCTTTGGCTGCCCATAAACTGACAGACAGATGTCGTCACGTCCCATGTGTGCGTGGTGGTTACCCTCCCCAGTCCCCTTCTCAACACTCAATTCACAGCTGCTGGCTTTGTACCGATAAGAGAACGAGATGACTTCCTTTTCTTCTCTCCACCCCTACTCCCTTCCAGAATAAGCTGGGCTGTTTTTTGGTAAATGACTAGCTGTCACTTCTTCGCCTGAAACTTTCCAGGCTCCACCACCTTGGCCAACCCTCCTGAAGGATGCTGGAGGCTGGAACGTCCCTATCGGGCAGCAAACTGCCTTCCACATCCTAGAGCAAGCTCTCCCCACCTCCCATATCCTACAAATCTTACTGCGTTTTGAGCTGTCCTGTGGTTTCTGTGGACTAACGAATCTCTCTGCATACTCTGCCGGGTCAGGAGCTTTGACCAGTTATGGTGAGGTAGGATATCTGTTCTGTGTACGTCTAGCTTCTATTTTTAACAAAGCTGGTATTTCTGAGTGGGAACAGAGCAAAGGGGAGAAGGCAGAAAGATCATCTGTGTAGTTTAGATTGCACGGTAAGGTTCCACTTGTGTTATAGGAAGATGTGAGCTAACAGCAGTCAGAGAGCATGTACGAAGGTGTGGGTGCTATTAGGAATAGTGATTAATGGTGCTTGTTAGCCACAGACTAGCAAATTCTCTGCAGAAGTGCAAAATTCTCCGGTGGAAACTACCCTTCAGATGCCTCTGCAGCACACGGGTGGTGATAACTTTCTCCTTGTGCTGGCTTCAGCACTGGGAAACGGTGTGTTAGCAGTTTCGTTTATATGATTACTATGATTACTGTTAATATGATTACCGAAGAGGCTTTTGGTGCTGACTGCAGCCTGGGAGAGGTTATCCCCACTGCGAGCAGTATGTTATTTTGTGATGTTATTAGATTTTTATCTTGTATTACCTTGTTAGCAAGGCTATGTTAATAGTTACTCGCTTATCTCTTCATTTGCCTTGCCACGTCTCTAGCTGAGCACACTTTCACGTGCTGATAACTAGCTTGCCCATATGGGAGCGTGGTAATTTCAAGGTGCTGGACACCTCTGGTTGAACGTTGTAGGTATTTACAGACCGCGTGAAATGACAACATTTAGTCAGAAGGGCAGTTTGTAAAGTCGTGAAGGTTATACGGGGCACGAACTGCAGAAGCAGCTGTATGTGCAAAGGGTGTGCTGGAGCAGGGAAGGGAGCGTGAAACGATCCCTTTGCCAGGCTGGGAGGCACAGCAGGCAAGTGCATGTGTGAAGAAACCAATCCCGCCTGCTGGAATCGCAGGGAACGGATCCAGGGCAGGAACTGGGTTGTGTCTGAAGCCGTGTTTGCGGTTGTTAAATGCAATGGGATCGTTGTGCGAGCGGCTATGGCTCTTTGCCACAGAGTGTAATGTGGAGCATGCCTTGGGTTTTCCTTCCTTCCTTCCTTCCTTCCTTCCTCCCTTCCACGGGCGGACCGAGGGCGTGGGCTGCTCTGCGGCACTCTGCAGGGATTCAGATGATGAAAGTCGCTACGGCGTGTTGGCAGTTTACATTCCCTTGTATCTCAAGGGTATCCCGAGGCTTTTGCGCTAACCTCGTTTCAATGCTGTTCTCTCACGTCTTGCAAAGTGACTGGTTTCCCCCTTTCTGGTCTCCTCTTCGGGTGTGTTCTGCTTCGCTGGATGATAGCAAAGCAGCTAAACAAATACTTTTCGGCTCCAGGAGGAAGCCTGTCAGTCAGACAACAGCTGGGCTAGTTTCGGTGCTGGCTGGTGATATGTATTTTTAATGCCCCAACTGTCTGGCAGGTGGGCCTGCAATTTAATTTTAACTTGCTTTATGAGAACAAAAACATTTGTAATGTACAGGCCAGTAAACTTCCATGAATGGAGGGAGTTCAAAAGAGATTTCTCCTACTGTTAGACCTTTTGAGACTAGTAGGCAAGGCCTTCTCTGGCCGAGGTTAAAGTGTAGCTTGGTGTTTATGGTGGTCCGAACAGTGCAATACCCTTTAAGTAGAAAAGGCTAATTCAAATATAAGTTCAAATCAGAGAATTAAATTGGAAAATTTGAAAACTGCAGCTGAAAATAACAACCTCGCACGCCTTTGGGGCTGATGTGTTCAGAACAGCTTGAGGGACTTAGCTACACCTTTTTTTAATTAAGAGAACATGGGTGTAAATCCTCTGGGCAACTTGGAAGAGCCCCAGCTGCCAGTTTCCTGCTAGTGCAGGTGAGTATAACTGGGTGTTGAAATGCACGCTGGCCTGATAAAACTAGGTCTGCCTCTCCCATTCTGTGGAAACTGAGAATTGTCAGGCGAAATTTGTCTTTTGTCTTTTTTTTTTTTTTTTTTTTTTCTTCCCCTCCCCCGAGCAGTTTCAGTCTTGTGCTGTTCTTCCTGTCCTCTGCCTCAGTGTAGGAAGTGCTAAAGCCATGTGCTAAACTAGCAGTTGCCTTCTTGCTCCCCCCCACACCATGTTAGCTGAGGTTTGGCTATACCTGCTGGATCGGGGGGGGTCCCAAAACCTGGGGCTGCTTTGGGTGAAGACCTTGGGACCACAGGCAGGGGCATGTCTGGAAGCGGAGCGCTTTGTTGAGGAACCAGCATGCTGAATGTTAATCTTATTTCTGGAGTGAGCAAATATTTGGAATTTGAATGGGGAAATTCACACCGTGCGTAGCCTGTAAGGGATTTTTTTATGCTTGTTTTGAAAACAAACCCAAACTGTCTCAGCGAGAGCCTCTGCCCTGGGCTATTAGGTCCTGAACTCACAGCAAGATCAGTGGGGATTGTACTTGTACCAGCTGGGTACTGGCGAGAATAGATTTTGCTCCTGAAAGCGCTTGTTGGACAATGCGGTTGCTCCTAGATCTGCGTAGGCAGCGCGGAGGCTGGGATAGCTGTGGGTAAGTCACTCAGGTAGCCTTACCAAGTTTTTTCACCTCCTGCAGCCTGGAGCAGCCTTCTGCTGAGCTACCAAGTGCCTTTAGTTCTTGGCTGGAGATGTCTGGAAAGGGACCTGGTGTCTGAAGTCCTCCGTTCCCTGTGGGAATACTCACCGTTTCCCAGGGCGGCAGCTGATGCCTCTTCCAGCCTCTTGTGGTTTTTTCTTCGTTGGTTCTTCTCTGTAGATGGCAGAGAGGTGCCAATCTCTGGTCTTCCCTCCCCAGCTACTTCACACCTGGATTTTACCAGCTGGAAATTTTAGTGATAGGCTGAGAGCCAAATCCTTCGCTGGTATGAATGATTCAAAGGGAGAGGTGACAGGTTTAGGATTTGTCCTTTATCCAAGACCATCCTCTGAGGAAAGGCGGACAGATGGCTTACCCTGCAGTCTCTGCCCCAAGTCTTTACTACGCTAGTCATAGAATTCGACTTAAAGTTTACATAGCAGCCCTCTGCCCAAATCATGTGGGTATCCCATAACTGACACCCATTTTTGGCAGCAAAGAGGGGCTGTATTTGTGTGCATAGTTCATTTCCTGAGCAGCCAAACCCACTTTGGAGGCGGCCATGTGCTTAAATCAAATGTATGATGAGTGGAAATACTATGTCTAATTTCAGTGCTCGAGAATGGGAGACTTCACTGACAGATTTACATGTAGAAGATAAGTGTGAACATGCCGGGCTTGCTGTATGCCAAGATGCTGAGATGCTTTGCTGGGTTATGAATTTTGCATAGCCCTTTTGGGAGAGCACAGGGGATATGGTTTAATGCCATACTGCGATGTGGTGGTAGGGCAGTCCATTCTGACCTAACACCATGAGGTAAAATAGGGGCTTGTTTTCCTCCTACTCTCCCTTTGGAGTCAAACTTCCATGGGATACTCCCTGTGCTGCTTTCCGATATCTGGCTTCAGGTGCAACTGAAGAGACCGTGCTACTCAGGCCAAGAGGAAAAGTTTACAAGATGCAACATCCTCCACCTCCGAACACAAACAGGGGAAACTATTGAGATGCAGAAGCGAAGGGTGAAAACCTGCATCTCTCAGAGCATGTTCAGACTTCACTTTCTACAAAAAAAAGCTACCTTGGAGGGTTGGTGGCCCATGTTAGGAGGGCTCTGCTATGCCCAGAGAAACTGAGCATAGGGGAAACCTTTTCACAAGGTGTGCTTTTCTCTCGGCTACTGCCTAGAACTAGCTGGGTCTACAGTAGTATCTTTAAGATTTGACAGGAGTTAGTCTGCAAATGGCCCATCTTCTTCATCTGTTACAGCTCATATGCCAATGTTTCTACAGTCTTCTTTCTGATGTGACTCCATCCTCGGAGTGCTCTGACATGGGTCTGTTGATAACACGTGTAAATTGGTGGGGATGGGCCCTTGTGGGATAGATAACTGTGTGATGCTCTAAAGAAGGAACTCTTGCATCCAGGCAAGAGTGTGTAATATCTTATTTTGGAAGTGAAAATGTAAGTTTGCACTTGTGATGGGAGGCCAAGCTCTCCAACAATTCCTCCTTCTTTCCTGCCTTCAGTTCTTAGTTTGAAGCATCTCATCCTGTGGCTAGAGAGGACCAGCTGGAGCCCCAAGTTTGACAGTGTCCTTCCGTGACTATAGTTAGCCATGCTGCATATGGTAGCCACGAGGCACTGTGGGTGCAAGAATACCCAAGCATAGAGGCAAACAGGCACACTCCGTTTTGCATTGATCCACAGCAGTGGTATGATCAGTTAGATTTTTCGCTGATGTATGGTAAACGTCCCCTGTACCACCGCTGTCTCCTAGTGCTCGCTCTGCACCGTTCGGATAGACTCTGCTGGCTGCACAAGTTGGCCAAAGAGAACCCCAGAGCTGCTGCTTCTGCAGCTGCAGCCAGTATTAGGATGTTGTTGCAGGAAGCCTTTTTAGCAAGGGGAAAGCTTGAGCAATATACGTCCTCGAGTTTTTACAAGCTTGTTGCTCTAAGGACCAGAGCTGCTAGCCCAAGTGCTTGCAAAACGATGGACCGCGAGTGATGGCGGACCTTCGAAATGACACAGGCGTCATCCCTCTCGTTTCTCGTACGCGTCCACGAGCCCCACGTCTAGCGCAGCCTCCCGGAGGGCTGCAGGAGCCGGCCCTTCGGTGGGGGTGAAATGACAGGTCCCGCAGCACGGGCAGCGGCTGCTCGCTGAGATGAGGTGAGGAGGAGACAGCAATACAGCAGGCAGGTGCCAGTCCCTTTCACATCCCTTATGTGCACCCATGCGAGCAAGAAACACAACTCGGCTTCACGCTGCAGGTTGCACACTCATGCTCCGGTGCCTTACTGTTCGCTCTCGCCTTGCGGAGCACGCTGTCCTTTTTGCCTGCAGATGATGTTATTTTTGTGTCCCGGATCTTAATTTTGTCCGTGGCTTCCTTTTCCTTGTCACTGCAGAGCCTTTATCTGGGGAGCGCAAGACGTGATGGTGAAAGAGGTTTTTTCCCTATCGGCGGCGT